CACCTCACTGTCAGGGTACTGATTCATGTGCCTCGCAATAGGGGAGGTTGGGCTTTTTGACCCTTATGCCCCTTAATTAATAATTAATTACCAAATTGCCCCTCATTCAAAACTATTTCGAAAATTTACCCTCCCCAACAAACATAACACCAATCTGCCCTTGTTTGACCGTTGACCACGAAGCCTACCCGGGTACACCATTACCTACCCGGGTAAATTTTGAAACTTTTTATCTACCCGAGTATGTAGGGGTGTACCCGGGTAGAGTTCTTGAATCTGGGAAAATGTTTGAATTATTTACCCGGGTACGGAGCAGTGTACCCGGGTAAACATCGACGGTAGGGTTTTAAAATACCCCAGCAGCCCCATTTCGAAAACCCACAAAAGGGGTACCCGAGTAGAGCTGCTGGAGGAGTGTCATCTTGAGCGATTTCAGGCATAATCTTGCACTAATTCGTCTTGTTTGTGATCATCATTCGCGGACCTTGCAACCTCTCTGCCTTCTACCGATTGAAATCGATCAAAGGTGCATTTTTTTTTCAGTTTTTTCAATTATGTTATGATTTCTGTTTTGATTCATTGTATTTTCGTTTATATCATTTGATTCTGTCCGAATTATTTTATCAATTTGTATGTCATACGCTTACCCTAACCCTAACCCTAACCCTGAATCTAACCCTAACCCTAACCCTAACCCTAACATGTATCTAATTTCTGATTTTGGTTATTTTTTCAGTTTAATAGTGTGACACAATGACCTCTCGACGCGTTTCAAAGCTGCCAGTGACCCATTCCGAGAGAAGAACCAAGAGTCGTCACGATGGGTCGTCATCCTCTCAGCCCCAGGCTGCTTCGAGTCAGGCTCCGGACTTGACGTTCGGATATTTGTTTGAGGATGACATACGTTCACACGAGAAGTTCGTGAAGTTTTTCATGACCCGGAAGATCTACGAACCGAAATCACTGGATTCGGCATTCTTCAACCTAGAGCGTTTTGACATTGTGCCGCTTCTTGAGCAGACACATTTACTTCACCTGGCGGAGATGCGGTGCCCATACTCGGAGGTTATGGTAAGAGCCTTCTACCAGAACCTTGGCTACTCGCAAGGCGAGCTGACTTCCCGTGTCTGCGGGATTGATATCATCATGACTGCTCCTATCTGGACGGAGCTACTGGGGTTCGATTTTGATGGTGTCACAGGAGCAGCACTATATGATGGAGACATCCATCATATATTTGGTGATTATAACCGGGAGACCATTGTTACAGAGACTAGGAGGGCAGACGCTGAGCCCGGTCATTTTGCTCATTATCCTGTTAGCAACTTGTCAGTTTCTGCTCGCATTCTTCATTATGTGGTGACACATATTATTTTCCAGCACCCGCATAATCACTCAAAGGTGCTGGTAGGGGACTTTGTCATCCTGTGGGCCCTCCTTCACAGTCAGCAGGTGAACTGGAGGCATTACATATGCATACTGATGTGGAAGGCAGCCAAGTCAAAGAAGGCTGAATTGCCTTTTGCATTTCTGGTGCAGAAGATTCTGCATAGATTTGGAGTGCCTATGGCAACAGAGACCTTGAAGACCGCCAGAGGCTGGAATGCTATATTTGGTGAGAGGCTCCTGAAGCAGTGTGGGATCCTACCGAACAGAGCGGGTATCTGGACGTGGAAGAAGGCACCAGAACCACCTGGATGGAATGTATGCCTTCTGACCCCATTTTTTGAAGAATTCTCTCCTTCAGTTCATTGCATGTAGTGCCCACTTTGATTTTCATCGTTTTTGTTTTTCCTTCAAATCGGACACCGTTCGGACCTTCAAAATGCCTCCCATTGTAGTAAACAACTATAGGAACCATGTTTGGACTTGAACTCATCTTTCACACAAAAATTAGATCTAGGTTTTGGGTTTGGAGGTTGGTTCGGATTTTTTAGCACAAAATGGGAGTATGGAGATGTAATCTCAATGTCCCACCAAGATTCAGCTTTCTGAAATGATGAGATGAAATATGTGTGATGTTTCGGATTAGAGAGGGTAAGAGAGAAAGATTTGGGGTTTCAAAAACCCTATACCTCGCAACAATGGCCGAAACCCATACATATTGGGGTTTCTGGACGCGATTTACCCGGGTACACTGCTCCGTACCCGGGTAAATAATTCAAACATTCTCCCAGATTCAAGAACTCTACCCGGGTACACCCCTACATACTCGGGTAGATAAAAAGTTTCAAAATTTACCCGGGTAGGTAATGGTGTACCCGGGTAGGCTTCGTGGTCAACGGTCAAACAGGGGCAGATTGGTGTTATGTTTGTTGGGGAGGGTAAATTTTCGAAATAGTTTTGAATGAGGGGCAATTTGGTAATTAATTATTAATTAAGGGGCATAAGGGTCAAAAAGCCGGGGAGGTTGTAGTGGAACACTGATCAAAATATTTTAACAAATTTTTTATTCAAATGTCATGTGAATAGTATTATTTTCAAATATATCACGTGGACAAATTCATCGAGCACTGTAGCGAACTCGGTTTGATGAGGTGTCACGTTCCTAGTAGACACCAAGTTCACTATCTGAGGTAGCAAACTTGGTTGTAAATTGTAATGTGTTCCACGGTTTCCAATATCGTGTGCTTAATGAGTTTCGATAGAAATTCATTAAACACACGATATTGGAAACCGTGAAACACCTTATAGTGGCCAAAGTGTCGCTATTGGAAAAAAAAACACTAAAATGTCACGCTAACAGTAAATTTTATCAAAATGTCACGTGACATATTTCGCTACACTGTGTAGCAAAATATGTGTGCAAATAATTCGCTACACAGTGTAGCGAAATATGCCGCGTCAGAATACACAGAACCAAAAATGCCACGTGTCAGACAGGGAGAATTTCGCTACACTGTGTAGCGAAATTCTCCATGTCTGACACGTGGCATTTTTGGTTCTGACGTGGCATATTTCGCTAAACCGTGTAGCGAAATATTTGCAAACGTATTTCGCTACACAGTGTAGCGAAATATGCCACGTGACATTTTGGCAAAATTTACTGTTGGTGTGACATTTTGGTTTTTTTTTTTCCAACAGTGGCACTTTGGCCATTCTTCCCCTTACAGTGTCCAATGAATTTGCCCACGTGACATATTGAGAAATAACACTATTCGCGTGGTAGTTGGGTAAAAAACTCGATGAACAGTGACATTTTGGTTACTTTTCCAAACTCGCTGGTAGATTTTTTTTTATTTTTTTTTTCACATATAAAAATATGGGAATAACATCTATCCTTTTAAAGGATATAAGTTTATATCCTTTTAGATCCTAACCGTTGATTTCCGTCCATCAACGGTTATAATCTATTGAGCCAAAATTATTAATTAATTAATAATAAATTTGACCCATTAAGTTTGGCCCAATAGATTATAACCGTTGATGGACGGAAATCAACGGTTAAGATCTAAAATGATATAAACTTATATCCTTTAAAAGGATAGATGTTTTTCCCTAAAAATATATATAATTAATAATTTTTCTTCTTCCTTCTTCTTACATGTCCAAATATAAATTTCGTACATTTTATTAGGGGAAGGATATTGTAACAATCAAGTTGTGTTACTACGATGTTATTATCAATCAATCTCACCGTTAGATCGATTATGTTGATCCAACGGTTATATTTATTTTTATCTTTTTTTTTGGACAAACATTTATTTTCATATTTAAAGTGAAAGCATTAAATATGAAAAATCATAACCATACAAAAGTAAAAATAAATATAAAGTATTAAATATGAAAAATCATGACCATACAAAGATGAAAATAAATATAACTGTTGGTTCAACATAATCAATCTAACGATGAGATTGATTGATAGTAACATGATAGTAACACAACTTTAGTTGTTACAATATTCTTCTTTTTTTTATTAACGTAAAAAAGATTAGTCTCAAAAAAAAAAAAAAATGACAAGAATTATAAATGCAAATTCACGTCAACGATCGGCAAAAGCTCTCCGTACTAAGCAATCTCTGGCAATGGTCATTGTCGTCTCAAATCACGAACAGAGCGATGGTAAAGTCAAATTAAATTCATTTATGGCATGGTGATTGAGACCATGGACCTTGAGCCATTCCTACTTTAGCCCTTTTATCTTTTGCTTTCACCCACACCTCCTTCTCCCTTTGTGTCTTTCTAATTAACGGTCCTTTTTAAAAGGAATCTTTCCCTGCATTGACATGTACCATCCTGATTTTACGCTTTTTCTAAGGTCTCATGGCTCACTCATCGAAGTACGACAAATAACATTAAAATAATATGAAAATATTTTAGTAAAACGATTTTTTTTCAAAAAAAAAAAAAAAAACGAAGAATTTTGTTATCTTTTATCAGATAATGTATATTTAGATTAATTTATTTCCAAATTAAAAAAAAATTAATCAGAAGTTTTTAGAAATATTTTTTAGTTTTTATTTTATTTTTTGGAAAATGCATTTATCATGTTACATGACAAATGAATAATTGTTATGTTAAAAAAAAGACAAGTTAAATTTATTAAATATTGTGTCATCTCACTTTTATAATAGTATATAATTTATCTTTTTCTTAACATCACAATTATTTATAATGCATTTCCCTTATTTTTTATAGGGTTTTATTAATGTTACGTGACATAATATAAGGGTAGTTTCTAACTCACACAATGATAAAGAGAGAGAAAGTGAAATGATGAAAGAAAAAAAAAAAAACATGTAATATATGGGTAGGAAAGTGAAAGTGAAGAAGCTTTTTTATATATAACATTTGTATACTTGTTTCGTGGCAATGCAACATTAATAACTCCCCCATGCCCCTACTCTGTCTCTCACGACTCACGGTGCATTTTGCATTCAGTTTCTTTGTCGAGTGAGCATAAAGAGACATTCTGGGGCCAATTGGTTATTTGGGTCTCTTCATTTTTTCAGCCACACCGTTACCAACACCAAGAAGTTTTGTTGGAAGCTTGGAGCATGGAAGTTCGTTCACAAAGAGGTAGTAGAGACACGAGCCCAGACCGTGCCAAAATATGCAGGTCGAAGCAAAAGGTGAAGCCCGCTAGAAAAGTTCAAGTTGTTTACTATCTCTCCCGAAATGGCCTATTGGAGCATCCCCATTACATGGAGGTCACCCTTTTGGCCAATCAACCTCTCCGTTTAAAAGGTGAATACATAAAAAAAACCTCTCTTGTTAATTAATTTTCTTGATATAACTTATTTTGTAAATTTGTATTATTCAATAAAGATGTATTCGATCGGCTCATGGCGCTCAGAGGGAGTGGAATGCCTTTGCAATATTCATGGTCTAGTAAAAGGTAGACTTTTATTAGTTTTTAATATATGCTCTTGATGCTATAACACACTACATAAGTTCATCTTGGGCAATTAGAATAAAAAAGTTTACTTCGTCAATTTTCAGGAACTATAAGAATGGTTATGTTTGGTGCGATTTGGCTCTGAAGGATATAATACATCCCGCAGAAGGAGGAGAATATGTACTCAAAGGATCTGAACTAGTAGAAGGATGCTCTGGTTATTATATATAATGCCAATTGTTTTTTTTTTGTTTTTGTTTTTGTTTTTTTCCATTTAAATAACAAAAACTAAACTATATATGATGCAGAAAGATTTCAACAAGTTAACTTGAGCAACAAACAAGTAGCGATTCATCAACAGCAAGAGTCAAATTATAATTATAATTCAAAGAGTAAGCCATTCAGTGGAAGCCTCCAGAAAGAAGCTGAAGAATACGAAGAATATGAAGAACACGACAAAGAATACGAGGATGGAGAGAAAACAAGTAATACGAGCTCAACCACCACACCTCACTCTCGTTGCTCCAGAGGTGTGTCCACGGAAGAACTTGTCGACGATGAAGACCACCACGATGCTGCTCAAAACAACAATACTAAGGTAATCATTACAAGTAACCATTCCCTACATAGTCATCATCATCATGTTCCTCCTTCGAACTCCACTACTCTGGCTGAGAAACTCAAGCAGGGAGGAATCAAATACCCGAGACGAATCGGAGATGGCACTGAGTCAGGGACCGTGTCGGTGACGTCATCAGCGCCGAGTCGCTACTCGGTTCTGCTGCAGCTGATAGCGTGCGGAAGCTCAGCGGCGGAGTTCAAGGGGAAACAGGAAGCGCGGTTGAGCAATGTGGGGACCAAACAGAGGGATAGTGTTGACAGGTCAGCAGCATCAGCTGAGAAGACATTTTCGGAGGGTGACCAGATGATGATCAACTGCGTCTCGGAGAATCCGAGGTTGTTGGGGAATTTGCAGTCAGAGGAAAAGGAATACTTCAGTGGGAGCCTTGTTGAGTCCATGAAAGCAAAGGCGGAGCCAGTTCTCAAGAAGTCTAATTCCTATAACGAAGAAAGGTTATAACTGCAGTTTCCTTCATTGTTTCTTCAATTCACAGACACCTTTGATTTCCATTTTGTAATTTATTTATTTATTTAATATTTATATGCAGGAGAAGCAAGCTAGGGATGGAGGTGAAGGTTACGGAAGAAGACAAGAGGGAGACGAAGGGAGGAGTGAAAGAGAAATGCATCCCTCTCAAGAAATCTTCTAAAGAGAGTAGGAAATGATGAGAATCAGATCATGCGAATCTATATGAGGAATTTGTGGAATGTGTAATTATTACACTAGTAATTAGGGGTTGTTGTCTGTTTTATTAATGTGTTTTAGGTTTCCAATTCGGTCTCATTAGTGCTGCTAGTGTTACAAAATGCAAATGTTTTGTGTAGATAATTAACCTCGCATATAAAAAATAGAACCGACTAAATCCTTACTCGGAATTAGAAATTAATTCTATAATTAATTTAAAGAGTTGAAATTGATGAGAATATCGACTTCTCTCAAAGAAATAATTAAGGTTGTTATAAAAAAAATAGTAAAAAGAAGAAGCACAATTGAAATCAAACACATTACTTGAAAACAATTACAAGATAAAAAATGCAATTTAACATATCAAAACAATATAGGATATTAACAATACACTTGATCTGGGTCTGGAAAAATACCATTATATTATTGAATTCAATATATCCCTCCTGTAGTATATTTTAAAGTTGAGGTCCTTGATTAGTTATCGGACTAAAGTTGAATTCTTTATACCTCTTGGGCCCATCGTGGGCTCGAGTTCATTTTCATAATAACTTTGACTTATATGTAAATAAAGCCCTAAAACTGATGAAAAAGTTTGGTATTACATTAAGCAATATGAACCATTATGAATGTATTTTGGCCGTGATACCATGTAAGGTTTTTGTAGGGACTGAGAAAAGTCTCGGAAAGAAAGTGAGATCAAGATAAGAATAACGAAGAACTCAATCTACGGGCTTTATTTTTTTGTATGAGTTAGTAACGTAAACAATCTCAATTTGAATTAATCATTACGGGACCAGTGTATATGAGTTAATGACATCCTCCTCTGGATATACAGTTTTAATGTGCATATGCCTAGTGTTCCATAACTGTATATGCGGGTACATCTTAGTCGTCTTACATGAGACGTGTGCCAGAAATCTACATGCATTAGGTGCTCCAGCAAATTCAAGAGGATGTGATTTGGGTGATGCACATCTCCCAAAGATCTCTATTAGGCTCGCTTCACCCTCAAAGTCATGTAGTGTGCATCTTTTCACACTACCTATAACCTATGATTTGTGCGACCGTTATACGTTGGGATCAAGTACGCCTCACTCTTTGGGACCGAGGTTAATGCAAGCGCGATGACCAGCCAATTAACTAACAAAATTTTACAAAAAATCACAATTAATTCATTAAATAGGCTTTTATCCTAAGCTTTTATAAATGACATTCAAATTAATTTAAAAAAATATTAAATTAATTCACCAACTAATTCACTAATTAGGTTTTATAAATGATATACAAATTAATTTAAAAAAATATTAAACTAATTCACTAATTAGGCTATTTTCCTAAGGTTTTATAAATGACATACAAATTAATTTACAAAAATATTTAATTAATTAACTAATTGGGCTTTTATCCTAAGGTTTTATAAATGACATGCAAATTAATTTACAAAAATATTAAATTAAATCACTAATTATAATTCACTAATTAGGCTTCTATCATAAGGTTTCATAAATTACATACAAATTAATTTAAAAATTAAATAACTAAAGATAGAAAAATTATTACATGTATTGGTGAGAACCCCAAATGCTAGAGAGAAGGAAGAGAAAAAAAAATTAGAGAGAGAAAGAGAATTTTGGAGAGAAGGAGAGAAACGAGCAAATGAAATGAGATAAAACATGGTCATGGTTCGAAAAGAACTCATGATCTCCTGGATTTAAATGATTTTGTAATTATGGAACTATTGTTGTAAATTCAAACTATGTTTGTGGGAGATAAAATATGTCAAATGAAGTGTCATAGCCAATGTTGTCAAACTCGAGTTTCTACGTAGAAACAGAAAATGATGGTAAAAATGTAAAACGTAGAAACGACACGAAACGTAAAGTTTTTACTTTCTACCACTTAAGGTCAAGATACAAAATTATATATATGCATGTAAAAAAATATCACAAAATGAATATGTGTGTGTGTTGAGCCTCTTATCTATCTAAAAAGGAAAATTATTTTTCATAACCAAGTATCAAAATTATAAACAGTGATAATTAACAAGTAATGAATAACCAATCTGCTCTAACTGCTTTATACACTCTGCAGATTTTGGATCATCGCTCATCAGGATATAATTTCACTTCTTTCAATGCACACAATGATCCAAAAACACAAAACGATTCTCTTAGCATAACTTATAATAGAATTGCAGCTTTATAAGATATAATTATAAAAAAACATATATCAAAACAAAAAGATATTAAGATACTATCAATATGATTTGGGGAAAATGAAAATTAGGTTTTTTTTAAAAAAAATTTGTAAATATTTTTTTTATTAAATTTTTAATTTTAAGTAAAAATGGTCAAATGGTAAAAACGAAAGATTTTACTGTTTTTACGCGGCGTTTCTACCAGTTTTTACCAATGGCAGTTGTTACTTGAGTTTTAACACGAATCACTCTAGTAAAAACATAAAAACGTAAGTTTTTACGTCTTTACACTAGTTTTTGACAACAATGGTCATAGCGAGATTTCGAAAAATTATGTGAAATAAAAAAAAAGTATGATCTGGATACCCGAGTCAAAAGTTATGGCCTTTCGAAGTTTTACAATAACGAAACTATCTAGCGCTGACATGACACGAATTCCGTCAGTATCATTGACACATCAATATTTGACATGTTTGTTTGCATTAGTTAATCAACTTTATCTGAACAATTCTTTTGTTCAAAAGTCAATGGTGATTTAGCCATCATCAATACGGAGCACGTTTGGCGTAGAGAAAGAGTTCCAATTTATTGCCAATCAAAGTTTAGCCGTAGACCACTAGGGAGTGGATTCTCTTACGTGTAAAAGTGATCATGTGGTTATATTATTTGATCACAACCACTTAGTGGCGGACCTATTTGGTTTTTTATGTGTGCAAGTGCACACATAAATTTGGTCATTTTTTAGTAAAGAAGAGATATATTTTTTAAGGAAAAAATTCACTAATGCCCTTGTGGTTTGTTTCAAAATCACTTATGTCACTATGGTTTTTTTATCACATATGCTCCTGTGATATGTAAAAGTAAAAATTCACAGGGGCATATATGATAAAAAACATATCCTTTTGCAAACCAGAAGAGCATATGTGATATAAAAAAATCACAGGGACATAGATGATTCTAGAGTAAACCACACGGGCATTGATGAATTTTTCCCATTTTTTAATTAATTATGAGTGTAACTCAAGGAGCAATCTTAGTGGCTGTATTACCAGGAATAAAACACAGATATTAAAAAAGAAACATATCTTATTTATTGCTTATGTTTTAGTGATTTTATATCATTAAGCTGACTACTATTTTTTTATGTTAAGTTCAAGTTTTCTTTTCTTTTGTTGTTTGAGGATTATATCCCTCATATTATATGAATGTAATTTTTTGTTAAGTTATATAATATTAAATAAAGTAAGATGACACATTATTCAATGAATTGGTCTTGTCTTTTTTCTTAACATGACAAAAAATTTGGTTCATGTAAAATAAGCGATATAATTTTTTTTAATGCATTTAAAACTTTCTTTAATTTTTTTTTCGGAAGCACTGTCCCCAGATTCTCTCCACTAAGTATTCGGACTAAATATGCACACATAAATAAAATTTGTTGGGTCCGCTACTGCAATCATTCATTTAAAAGTTATATTTCTCTCTCTCTTATCTTATTATCAATGATGGATTGTAATCAAATAAGACATAATCACTTTCCATATAATAGGATCCACTCCGAGACCTATCATTGATTCATTGCGAAGTTGGAAATCTGATACGCAATAAATGTTTAAATTTAAGAGCGTGGCTCTTTTTTCTTTTTTGGCCTATGTATTTATGGCTTTGCGTTCTCAAGTGGAGTTGCGTCTAGAATATTTTGATATCACTACCAAAAGAAAAATCATTTTATTTTGATTTCATTTATAATACTTGCATTACTAGCATCTTTCATTTAAGGATACCCAAATGTATTTGGTCTGCCACTTTGTTTCTTCTTGGTTTAGAGATGCGTCCTAAAAATCCTCCTTCAATAAAACAACGTGAGGCTTTTCTCTCTCTTATACACCCCCAGGAACTTTCCCCTAATCTTGGTCCGGATGTTGAAAAGAATAGAGTAAATATCTTTTTTTATTTCCTAACAAAAAATACGGTCTTCACTTTAGTCCCTTACAAAAATAAATTAATCAGTTAGTCCCTAACAAATTCAAAGTGGACCCATTTAGTTGAAATCGTGGTCCCTCACAAATTTAAAAAAGACCCATATTAATCTCTCAAAAGGACTAAAATGGGTCCACCTTGTATTTATTAGGGACTAACTGACTAATTTATTTTTGTAAGGGACTAAAGTGGGGAACATATTTTTTGTTAGGGATCAAAAATGGTCTTTACTCAAAAGAATAATATATTTTTATTAAACGTGCATCCATCTTTGCAATTCGTCCCCAGCTTAGAAGTGACCGAGTGTTTTTAGTTTGTTAAGACGTTAATGCAATTCGGCTCATACATAATTTTTAATTTGTATTTTGACGAATTAATTTATGTATTATAATTTGGTGAATTTAAATTTCTAATTTTGATGGACTCGAAGAAAGTGTGTATTAAAAAAGTTTAATAAAAAAATAAAAACTAATTTGTTCTAATTCAATTTGCAAAAAAGCGTGCTTAAAAACAACACTTTAACAAATAATAATTTATAAATATATGTACGTAAAGGAGCAGTGTTCCATAGCCCGAAAGGTTTTTATCATAACAAAATAAAGTTGAAAATTTGAGTGCGAGATAATACCATATTGATTGAGAATAAATTAAGTAAGAATCATGCGAGTAAAGTGACGCATAAATTAATTTTCTTTAAGGTTATGATTTTTTAATTATATGCTGTCCAATCCATTTTTTGTTTATCGTACAAATATAAAAATTTCAAAACTGCATATAATATAATGAGTGAAAATAAAAACATTAAAAGAGTAAAGGATAACTAGAAGAATGATAGTAAATATAATTAATTTAATCTCAATCGAACCAACTCGTAAAGTTGGCTCAATTGGGAGAGCTAGTCCAATAGTAATATGAATGTTCTCAGCTTGAACATGTGAAAAATACTTTTGATTTATCCATTTAATTTTCCTAAACACTCCAAAAAAGAAGAAGAAAATTTCAGGAATTAAATTAATTTTTTTATGAAACTAAAATATAACTAGAAGAATTATAGTAAATATAACAAAGAAAATAGTAATAATTCTATTGTATTGTGACATATATGAAAAACTTTACATATGAGCTTTATTATTAGCTCTCAATCCATTACAATGAAATAAATGATAAAATTAAAATTTTTTAATTATATATTATTAACTCATAGGAATTATAAAAGTTACACATTATTTCTTTGAGATTATAGATATCCACATTAATATTATTTGTAATAAATTAACTGAATTGAATTTGATCAGCTTATTTATTTATTTTTATTACATTAAACTCAAACTAAATTGCCTGAACATCCCTGATAACTAATGGAATGAAATGGAAAAAAAATAAAAATAAAATATTGCAATTTAAATAAAAAATTATGAAATTATAACAATTTCAAACTTATTTATGAAGGAAAAAAAGATGTGTCATTTTAAATGACACACCTTATATCCTTTCACTCTCACAAAGAGGTGGGACCCGCACCTTTAAATTTTTTTTACTCATTCTTTCTCCTATGATTTATCTCGTTCTCTCATTTAAAATGACATTATTTTGTGTTTTTCAAAATGATACACATTTTTCTCATTTATGAATGTGTAGCAACCAGTCGCGTCTAAATCTGGGCGCGACCCACTTAAGGATGACACGTAGCATAAAATTTTTCAACTTGATCGGGCGCGCCCAAATCCAGGCTCAATCAGGGAAGATTTGCCTGAGGATGACACATGATACAAAATTTTAGAAGATCATAACTTTTGGCTCGGAAGTTTGAATCAGATGATTTTTTTTTTATTCTACGTAATTTTTTGAGATCTATGCACTGGCGGCAAATGTACACAATTTTGTAATCACACAACTTATTAAAGAAATTACACAAACTATCCCTAATTCATAAATCCTACATATAATGCAGAGATCCTAACAGCGTACAAAATTTTGGGATACAGATACTTACTTTCGAACAAGTTGAATAAGTTTTACATAATTAGTCACGATTATTTGTTATTGTTAGAAAGTAAAAAAATAATAGTAAGAATTAATTAATATCATTTACAGAGTTAAAATGTGTCAAACATGACATAAATAAGTATTTTTTTTGGAATTTTTTTTGATTGCATCGTCTTCCGTGTGCCACGTGTTATTATCGTGTAAGTTACGTCCAAATTTAAGAGTGATTGGATGGGCGCAACTCATTGCTACATATTCATAAATAGATTTTAAATTATTACAATTTTATTATTATTTTAATTATAAAATTTTAATTTTTTTTTGCCAAAAAAATTGCCAGAATCCAAGTATAGGCGCAACTCATTGTTTGTTTGTTTGTGTTAAATATACACACCAACTCCTACCTAGTGTGCATCTGACTGTTCCCACTTCGCGTATCAATGCATCGTCATCATCATCAACCTTAAAATAACCAACACGCAAAGCCACTCAAAGTAATGGAGGCTTGGAGACACAATGTGATACCAATCTCTCTATTTAAGGATAAAACACAATTATTAAATAAAGGATGATCAGGCTTAGTCTATTTTAATTGGTAAATCGTACCAAATTAATTTTTTTTTGGGGATACAATCGTACCAAATTATTGAAATATATATTAAGTGGAAACTAAAGTAGATTTCAGCAATATTATTTTCTTAAACAGTTTTTATATATTCATACCAAAATTTTTACATTAATGTAACATTGGTTAATGAATGATGTATAAGCTTTTTATTAGTACTGTGTATTTTTAGTATGTTAATAAAAATATTATACATTGTTAACCAGAAATTTATACATTATTAATCTATGTAAAAACAACGAAACTAGAATAGTCTACAAATAACATTTTTATTTCTTAAAAAATGTTAATTATATAAAAAGACGGTTTTCTTTAATAAAGATTATTTCTTCCAATTTTATTAAGATTTGATTCGTGGGCTTAAGTTATCCATTATTTAACTATTTACATGCCTTTTGGAGAATTTTTTTAATAAATATATATAAAATTCTAAAAATTTCAAAATAGAAAAAAGAGACAAAACCAAGATAAGAATATTCCCAACTCTCTTATTGGGTCATGTCTCACACTTGTGTAATAATTATAGAAAAATTAAAACATCCGTGAGACTTGTTTCAGCAATAAAGAACAAGGAGAAACGCTTACCAAAAAAAAACAAACAAGGAGAAACGTAATTTAATAAATAAAAAAATAAAAAATTGTTTAGATGAGTTTATTCTAGTCAAGCAGACACGAGGCTTCTATGATTGCCTTTTTACCTACTAACAGTAAACTACATTCAAATCTACATATGCCTATCTCCAAAACTTTTCTTTTTTAATTTTTTTAATTCTCTCTTGCCTGCACAAGAGAAATAAAATTTCAGAACACATAAAATAGAAATGGGTCTCGCATGTATATTTTTTTTCTTAATTATGGATTCTATTTATAATTTTATTTCCATGAGATAATTTTTTCGGTACAACATAACAAAATATTTTCAATTTTTTTATTGACAGAACAATTTTATCTTTTAGTTAACCCCAAAAGGATAATTAAAAGAACATGTTGTTGATACATAAAGTCCCATATTGATTGTATATATATCTCAACATGATCCCTCACGCAAGAACCCTTCGAGCAAGAAGCGTGGAATTGCACAGATCTAATTCCACTTTAAAGTGGGAGACGGTGAGAATTGAACGATACACCACCCCAAAAGCTAGCTCAAAAAATAAAAACATCCAAGATATTATAAACTCCACGTTAGTTACTCGTATCTCGAACTATATGTCTGAACACACGTTTCTATTTTTATAAAGTATTGAGTGAGAAAAAGTCCGAGGAATGTAATCACCGATGATTTAAATTAAAAAAATACTCTGTAAAGTAAAAACATTAATTCTCACATTCATTACACGAGTCTTTTCCTTTTTATAAGAAGCCCTTCATTCTCATTTCTCACCAAGTGCCCTTCAAAACATTGCTTGTGAGCATTTCAGAATCAAAGCTTTTCAGCAACCATGTTCATGGCAAGTTTTCTGCTACAGAAGACTAGTAATTAGGCTTTTATGCAGGGGAACAGCGTTCTCCCAAACACTTCAATAAAAACATGGCTTTGTCAGACATTGAGACATGCACAGTAGTTGATCCAGTGATGGAAACTGAGAAGACCACTCATGAAAGGTCTCAGTGGGTGGTCAATGCTCCTGATCCTCCAACTCTGAGGCATAAACTTGTTGGTTCTGTGAAGAACACCATTTCACAGAATCAAGCAAGGTGCCATTCTCTCAGAGGCCAACCCGTACCTAAAGTTGTGCTTTCCTTCTTGAAGGGCATTTTTCCTATTCTTGAGTGGGGCCAACATTATACAGTAACCAAATTCAGGAACGATTTACTTGCAGGTTTAACCATTGCTACTCTCTGCGTTCCTCAGGTATAATAACTCTCTATATAGCTGCACAATTAGAACATACATCATACAAAAAGTGAAACTGACACAGATTCTGTTTCCATGCAGAGCATTGGGTATGCCACTTTAGCAAAGCTTGATCCTGAATATGGCCTATGTAAGTTACTTTTCAGAGTTGAGATTATTATGTTTAATATTTTGAAATTGGATTCGCTTTTTCTGGAGTTACTGCACATAATTTATATCCAGTAAATCAATACGAAATCATTTTGGGACGGAAATTATGGTGTTTTTGTAATTTTAATTTATTTCAGGATTATAATAGTCTTTATATTTATAATTTTTTAAGATTTCAATATCAAAACGACATCGTTTTGGAAATAAATACAGATAACTTACCTGCGTAAATATTTTTTCCTTTGAAATTATAGAGTTGAAATTAATATATCTTATGCTTTAAATAAATTAGATACAAGTGTTGTGCCACCTCTTATCTATGCTTTAATGGGAACCTCAAGAGAGATAGCAATTGGACCCGTGGCAGTGGTATCCCTTCTTTTGCCATCAATGATTCAGAAGTTAATAGACCCAGCTAATGATCCAATTGGTTACAGAAAACTTGTTTTCACTGCCACTTTGTTTGCTGGTTTATTTCAACTAGCGTTTGGACTCTTCAGGTGGGTATGTTATTTACATGCATGAGCGTATATTATATTATGTGGCTCATTATCAGTGTTAACCTTTGATAATAAATTAATAGGTTGGGGTTCCTTGTGGATTTTCTGTCTCATGCTGCTATTGTTGGATTCATGGGGGGAGCGGCTATAATAATTGGTCTTCAACAGCTGAAGGGACTATTTGGGATCAATCATTTTACAAACGAAACAGACATAATCTCTGTCATGAAATCTGTTTGGGAATCATCTCATCATCCCGTATGTTACACTTTTTATCCCTTTATTGTTGCTTTTACTGTTTGGTTTGCTGGCTGGCTGCCATAAGGGTGAATGAGTTATTTATGAGGGAAAAAAATATTAAATAACTATCAACACTTCTCTATTAACCACCTCCTGCATATATTGCTCTCCAGATAATTATCTAAAATATCATTATCGCAAACTCTGAATTTTGTGATCATGACTTTTTCACTATTTAAAAGTGGAAAATAATATTCACTATTATGTAAAAAATAGCACCTATTATGAAGTATTAAATATTATAATTTCGAGGGGCAAGAATTTTTAAGAAAAAAAAAATTAAATTTCTTTAACTTTTTTGTAAGAAGGGGACAAAAAGGAAAACAAAAGAAAAAGTAATACTACTAATACAAAATGTTATAGGGCTCAAAAGTGCTATAGTATTGATACTACAACGAATTTTTTTGTATTATATCTATATATAATTAAAAATAATAGATAAATTCTTATTGCATTACAAAATTCATTTGTCTCACGTTGAATATATTGAGAAAAGAAATACTAAGTTTCACTTATAAATAGGGAACTACATAATTAATGCAGTATTTTCTAGTCTGATTTTAGTAGGTGATACCCGAAGTTTTAGTACTATCTACTGAAAAAAATTTATTTCCCACATGTTGGTGTTGCTATCTAAACACTATATATATCGGATAACATATATGCTGTCCTAGAATTTGAACCAAAAATCATGACGTGAACACTTGTAATTGTTCAACTGCAGTGGAACCCCCGCAATTTTGTCCTGGGATGTTCATTCCTCATTTTCATCCTGTTTACCAGATTTGTGGTGAGTGATAATTATACAAAGAAGTAACTATCTTGTTTTTCTGAACTATTTATTTCTAAAATATATTTTTGTCTAATGCACGGTTCAAATTCACCCTGCCAGGGTAAAAGGAATAAGAAACTGTTCTGGATGCCAGCAATATCCCCTCTAGTGTCAGTTTTGTTATCAACTCTTATAGTTTTTCTGACACGTGCGGACAAAAGTGGAGTTAATATTGTCAAACATATAAAAGGAGGACTAAATCCAAGCTCCATTAATCAGATACAGTTGCATAGCCCCCATGTTGGAGCATTGGCCAAAATTGGACTTCTTGTTGCTGTTGTTGCACTCACTGTGAGTACCCAATTTAATTTACTCTTTATATGCAAACCAATTTAATTTTTATGTGGGGTTCCAATTATCAATTTTTCTTTTTTGTTATCTTATTGATTATAGGAATCGGTTGCCGTTGGCCGATCTTTTGCATCCATGAAAGGTTACCACCTTGATGGAAACAAGGAAATGTCATCATTAGGCTTCGTGAACATCATAGGATCCTTTACCTCTTGCTATGTTGCAACTGGTAAGTTTGATAAAAGATGGTAACATGAACACCAATTTGCTCTTTTTTATTTCTAAAACAAGCTTGTTTTCATTTTATAGGTTTTAATTTGTAAGCACCACTAACAAAACATAGAGAAAGACTTAATTCTTAAATTCCTTAAAATATTCGATCAATATATTCTGGGATATTCTTATTATACGTAAAGTAACCTAGTTGATAGTGCAACCATCAAAATCACTATCAATTTCAATTAGGTAAGATTTTGGTAGCTAAAGTTTGCATAGAATTCTCGAAGTTATTTCATTAAGAATTGATTCCGTGACGTTTACCTATTAGTGGGGAATAAAAGACTATGGTCCAATGTAAAGGTACAAGGTTCGACAGAGCACAAAATTAAACTAGCTAGTGGAAGAGTATATACGTTTTGTTTTTATTGGGGAAGGTACTTTATGGTTAGGATCTACAACGCATGATTGAAATATTTTAATCTTCTATCACTTGCAAGAAGAAATTTGAACACTCATGTAACCGACCTCAAGTGGAACCTATTTAAAACATTAATTAAAGTAGCATTTTGGCTAAGTAATATTTTCTTTGATTTAATAATCCGCAGGTTCTTTCTCCCGCACAGTGGTAAATTTCACTGCCGGTTGTGAAACATTAGCGTCAAACATTGTGATGGCCATTACTGTCATCATATCACTGCAATGTTTCACGAAGCTATTGTATTTTACCCCAACTGCAATTCTTGCTTCAATAATCCTTTCAGCTCTCCCTGGACTTATAGACATCAACGAGGCCTACAAAATTTGGAAGGTTGATAAGGTTGATTTTCTTGCTTGCATTGGAGCTTTCTTTGGGGTGCTGTTTGCTTCAGTTGAGATTGGTCTGCTAGTGGCGGTAAGAGCACTTCTTTGATCACTTTTCAACATTGCTAGCTTTTGCAACCATGTGCTCAATGTCCCTGTTATGTACTGTTATTGATATTAATTAATTTCAAGTCAAAGTTGGAGCTCTAGGTTGACTAATTCTAAGGGAACATATAGTGGTGGAGCTAGCTAGACTCTAGGAGGGGTATTTATTGCCCCTCAAGTTCGTTAAATCTTTTTCTCATATTACATTCAGATAGATTTTAAAGAAAGGTAATGTAACATAAGTTCCCACCTCTTTATCTTTATTGTTTCTCATGTACCAAGAAAACTTGGAGAGTTCTTCAAACCTAGTTGCATATCGATCCACTATCGTGTTGACCTGTCTAAGTTAGTGTGAATTTTGCTTTCTTTCATCCCCTCTCATAAAATTTTCTGGCTCCGAGTTTGGAAACATTATTTTAAGCTCCAGTCTAGCACTATCTTATCAACTGTGCTACAAATTTCAATCGCAGTAGTTGTTGGGCTTCCTCCTTCAATGCTAAGCCCAAGCCCATTGAGGAGTTCCCTAAAACCCTACACCTAGATCTCACCTCCTCTATATATTTATTAGTTGTGGGTGGAGGCTAGGTCAGAGATTAAGAGAGAGATTAGAAATTTGAGAGAAGATTGTTTGAGCAAAGATTTATGCTTTGTATTTGAGAGATCTCTAGAGAGAGTTTGAGTGAAACATCTCTAGGAGGTTTGATTATCACCATTGTTGGAGAGGTTGAGTTAACCACCACATTAGTGATTATGATTATTTATAACCATTATTTTCATAGTGGATTTTTGATCTGGACTAGGTCCCGTGGGATTTTACTTCTTTATTGGAGAAGGTTTTCCCACGTTAAAAACTGCTTGTGTTCTCTCTCTCCCATTTTTCGTATTGATTTTCCGCTGTGCTGCCCGACCTGGTGAAGTTCAGGCCGAGGTATTGCCGAGATCCAAAATCTAAGATATCATTGACTGAATTCCGCAAAAGCTGCTTAGCCGAGCTTGAGGGAACCGAGTTCCAACAGTAGTCACTGTCATAGGTCACCTCTCCACCGACCACCATTGTATATTCTTCAGAATCACCACTAACACAATTATGTCATGGAATCTAACACTTTTGAAAAGCGCAGCACCAAAAATTCTAAATTAGATAAGAATTGATTACTTTGAGTTGAGCTCCCAACTCGAATATTTAATATGAGTCTATGACAAGGAGGGACGTAAACTAAATATTATAACATTATTATTGAGCAATCATGAGATGCAAATAATACTTAAATAATGTTCGCTGCATAAGTTTGTGGCCAAGTTGAGAGGATATATAGCTAGTGCGATTTCTTCTGTTTGTTTTTTCCCAATCAAACTGGTAACTAAGAAATTTAGTTTTGTACATCTCAGAGGCCTTGCTTTTTCATTGCACAACAAACTGCTACCATTTTTCACTACCTTATTGAACTAACATGCAAAGCTGAATTTTGATAAGCAACGAATGTTGGTCCAATAAGAGTGACACAAAGTGGATGGGTTTGGAAATTCCAATGTCTCCTTATATCAGTATCAGCACAATGAAAAGAGCCCCATTATCAAGGGTAAAAAAGAGATGTTTGATTCAAAAAGCAAGTAGGAACAACTAATGTACTCAAGGGTAAAAAGAGTAAATTAAGATCATTCAAATTTATTTTCAGGTGGCGATATCTTTTACAAAGATCATTTTAATCTCGATTGGAGCAGGCACAGAAAATCTGGGAAGACTTCCCGGCACAGATATATTCTGCGATGTTCATCAGTATCCTATGGCTGCTAAGACTCCCGGGGTAGTAATAATACGCATAAAGTCTTCATCACTTTGCTTCGCTAATGCCAATTCAATCAGAGAAAGGTAGTAGGCACTTGCATAAAGCACACATAAGCATTTACAATTAAATATGAATTAACCGAGTTTGACCATCAACTAACTCGTCAACCTAATCTTATTTCTAAGGATCCTGAAGTGGATCATTCAGCAAGAAGCAGAGGGGAACAAGGAAGACCCCAGAAACATTATTCACCTCGTAATCCTTGACACCTCCAGTAAGTTGTTTTTCTGAAATACAGGAAATTGAAAACCCTTGAAAGAAGATTTTTATAAGAAGAAAAAAAAAAAGGAGAGAAAAAAAAATACACATAAAATGCATCAATTACCTTTGCTGATTTAGTTATATAATATTTTGTTACTGATAAATGTAAAGTGCAACAGCCATCACCAACGATGATTCATGTGTGGGTTTTTTCTACTTATATGTTGTAACAGTCTAGTAGCCTAATCCTGAACAGTTCATTTCATTATATTATTATTATGGTAGATTTGGTGAGCATTGACACCTCAGGCATTGCTTCTCTAGAAGAACTGCATAAGAGTTTGGTCTCAAGTGGGAAGAAGGCAAGTTTTGCTTTGAGGTTTTACACTGTGATTTCGCAGTTTTCATGTCTGCATGGTGCCTATTAACCTACTCCTAGTATTAATTTTTCTCAGTTAGCAATTGTCAACCCAAGGTGGCAAGTGATTCACAAGCTAAAGGCTACAAACTTTGTCAAAACAATTGGAGGAAGGGTATTCTTGACTGTTGGAGAAGCTATTGACTGCAAGCTGGATTTCTAAATGACTGCTGTATCTCTGCCCTCTGTTTATAGAAATCACGTGTGGGAATAAAATCTTAGCTTTTCATGTGTGAGTTGAATTGCAATGTTGTAACTTTACTCATACAAGATGCTTCTTTTAGGTGTGTGATTTTCCTGCCCAGGAGTACTTTATGTACAATATAGCGGGACAGAAGAATAAGTCCTCTTCCTGTTAGGCACATAGGAAGTGCGAATTAGGTTCTGTACTATATAGGTTTGTAACTATTATGTATTAAAAGAACTATTTGGTTTGTGTGAAGTTTATGTCTCCATCTGCCTACAAAACTCATAAGAATGTTATAGAACTTTGTAGGAACTTAAGAAGACAAGCAGATTAAGTTTTAGTTTTAGTTGACATCACCTTAATTGTTCAAAACTAAGTGTGATGCTGAGATTACGAATTCGTACTTGTATCTTCAATATTTTTAATTTAAATTCAGGACATTATAAATAAAGTTTGTCGGGAATTATAAATTATTTTCACTGTGATTATTCATTATCGGGTACTAATATATATATATATATATATATATATATATATATATTTGAAATATTTCAATCGGTTCATCGATTCGTGATTAGTCCGATTCGGGACGAGTCCTTAAATTAAAACTGTAAACCTCTCCCAAAGACGGTATTGGAAAAGATTAAACATATGTTCTCACTCTCACCAGCTCAATTTTCTAATGCCAACTGAGCTACCATAATTTGGAGGGTAATAATATCTTTGATTTAAGAATATATCAAAAATATATTTGTCTAGTTTCACCACAATCACAACCCACAAGCGTTTTTGGTTGAGTCAAATGTTGGCCCATGGGCCATGGCCATGATGGCCGTGATTTAATACAAGACACTTTGTGATTGTTTGACGGACATTCATGATAAAGTGTGTTCTCCATGCTTCATTTTCTCCTTTTCGAAAGAGAGCAAATTCACAAAAAGAAAAGAGGGAAGGGCCACCCCGGGGGAGAGCAGAAAGCCAACTATGCATTTTAATAGTATTTGGTCCGGTGTTTTAAAAATCACTTCAATTGAAGAATTAAAAAGGTTAATAGTTCATGGTTCACACGGTGCAATAAGATAAAATAAAAATATATGGATACTATTAAATGTTTATATATATATTATATATATATATATATATATATATATATATATATATATGGATTAGGATCATTTTACACCAGTGTAAGTTACACTCTCATTCTTATCCGTGGATCTCACTTATATAGAAGGGCTCAAAATTTTTAGTAATGTGAGCCATTGGATACAAGTAGATCAATGGTCAAGATTGAGTGTAAGACTTCTAACTCTTACACCAGTGTAAGAATATCCTGCCCCTATATGTATATATATATATATATATATATATATATATATATATGGGTTTTATAAGTATCATGTTGCAGAAAAATAAATATGTTATGCTATAGAAACACCACATGTGGGGCCCATTGATTTTCCTAAAATAATAAATAAATAAAACCATAGATTTTGAAGGGTTTTCTCAAAGGATACTCACTTTCCTATAACATGATACTTAGGTAGTGTTTGCATTTTAAATTGTGGATAAGTCTTCCGTTTTATCTTTTGTAATATTCACGTGTATATATGACATTCCTTTGTATGGTGACAAATGATGAATAACAAATACCATTTCTAATAATACCTCTAAAAGGGAACTTGTGACCTGCTATGCTGAATCACCTTTATCTAAGGTGATTGACAAGGCAGATGTTCATCGGGTTTGCTCGTTGGGATTGTGTCTCTCACAGACGTTATTAGAGTTATAAGGCGTTCTCTACTATCAGATTCAGATGATCAGTGAGAAGCACAATTTTGTGCCAAGGTGGACAAAAGAAAGATATTGATGATGTAAACATCCTCACATACGTTGAATAAAATTGGTTGTCATACAAATTGCACGAAATGGTTGTTTACACTTTATACATAAATTAGAAAACATATTTGTTTTAGACAAAAGAAACTGAATTTCTTATGACAAACAAATTGCAGTACGGGTATACTAGGAACCTTCCATCAATATGATATATGTAACATAAAAGACCATCATCTTAGCCTTCTTCTTCTGGGCGTAGTTGAAAATCATCTTAAAACCTCAGTTCTTCTTCTTCTCCTATGTGTTGTCTCTGAGCCTAAAACAACAATTGTGTCAACATTCATACTCGAAGGAGGCACAGAAGCTGCGGCTGCAGAATTGGTTGCAGCAACATATCGAGCAAGACACTCTAACAAATTTGTAGCATCATCACTAAAAGTTGAATTTCTATTAACAACACGAGGATTTGACTGCCTGCTTCCACCTACCTGGTGATCATGCATATACGATTCAAAGTCCTTAACTAATCTTTATGCAGAATACATTGCAGAATTTAATCTAAAGTACAAATCCAACTCCAACAAGAGAGAGCCCCATTCCTAAAACAAAACCCATATACAGTGTCCTTGTTGTGGCAACAATCACCTTGTTATAGTCTTTCTCAGCAAAGGAACTAGCTAGAATAGTCTGTGAGCCATAAAATACGCATGATGTGAATTCTTAGAAAGATTTTGAGAAGTTAAATGTATAAGGTACATCACAGTTCTAATCAGTCCTCGCAGACTTCTTCTTCAAAATTTCTAAAGGGGCACTTGTGGAGAGGTTGGCATACAGAAGTGGTGTGGGAACATATATGTTTAGATAGAGAGCTTCTTTGCTTCAGGGAAGAACATGAAAACAAATGGTAAGTTTCAATGGGAAGCTGTAGATTCAACGGAAAAAAATAAAAATCATTTCCCCCTACCCGTGACTTATAATTAACAACTTAAACAAAAATGAAGTTATCATTATCCAGAGGAAAAAAAAAAACCAAATAAACTCTTTGCAACATAAAAAATCCAGTCTATACAAAAAATTATATTATAAATCTTCAACCGAAACCTCATCTCATAGATTCCTGCATCATGAATAAAGGAAAAAATAACAAGCACCTCCCTTTTTTTCCTTAGACTTTCTCGTTGATTTGATTTCTAACTTCTAAATTTTTAAACAAAGCATGGAAATAGAAAAGGGAAAAACTCAAAATACTTCTCCTTTGAAATTTCTACAGGGTCACTGGTAGAGAGGTTGAGGTAGAAGAGTGGTGTGGGAACTGCTTCAACTGTGAAAACAGAAAAAAGAAAAGAAAAGAAAGTAGGTATGCTTCGTTCAGAAGTTGTAACGTCAATGAGAAAAGAAAGAAATGAGCGGAAATGGAGAAGTTCAGAGAAGAACGAGGTAAAGATGACAGTTGGAGTCACGTGCCTACTATTCTTTTTGAAGTCGTGGCCGTTGGATTAAAGTGCAATGGATGGTTCAGATGGGGTGTAAGAGTAAAAATCTTACACTGGTGTAAGTTGATCCTGCCCCATATATATATGGGTTTTATAAGTATCATGTTGCAGAAAAATAAATATGTTATGCTATAGAAACACCACATGTGGGGCCCATTGATTTTCCTAAAATAATAAATAAATAAAACCATAGATTTTGAAGGGTTTTCTCAAAGGATACTCACTTTCCTATAACATGATACTTAGGTAGTGTTTGGTTGGGGAGAAATTTTATAATAATAGGGAAATGTAAATACTAGGGATCTGCAGGGAAAATGAGTTAGATAGGAAAGTTTTAAAAAAGTTGTTTGGTTGGGCAAAATTTTACCAGGATAATTGAATGAAATTTCTGAATGTGTGTTTGGTTGAAGATAAAATATTGATGTAAAAACTTAACGAAATTACAAAAATATCCTTACAAAAACATGGTTTTGACCTTCTGCTCATCTCTTATTAGCTTCTATGATATGCTTTTCAGACTGATGCTCTTGTTAGCTTGCTTCCATTAATTGGATCTTCAAATGTCTGTTACCTTTTATATAAATTTTCCCTATTTATAGATGTTTGGGTTTTAATATCTTCAAAAGTTTCAATATAGGTTCTTTAACTTTGTTGGATCCAAGAATTGGAGCGGTGACAGACACATTGAACCAAACAAGAATGTTTCATTGGGTTTATGGTAACCATCCTATCAGTATGGTAACTGTAGCATCAGAAGCCTTGCGATAGTTCTGGTTAGTATGTTTCATCCTTAACAACAAGAACCAAACAAGATGGAGGGGTAAAGTTGTCATGCTTTTCTTTCCATTTTCACTTACCCGCTTTCTCACAACAATTCGACCTTCACAACCGGCTTCATCAACAGTGTTTATATCCAACTTTTACACGTTCTCATGGATTGCTACCTAAACCTCATTGACGGGCAATTGAGAAGAAAAGCCTGAACCAAATGTGGAGAACGATGAATCCCACATCCACTTCCCCAGGATAATATTGAGAAATCCCCAACCAAACACTACCTTATAAATCCCTACATATATATGTGGTTAATATTTAAGTGGGTGGGGCTTATGAAGAAAAGAAAAAGAATGAGAAAAATAAAATCCACCCATTTATATATATATATATATAGGGGAAGATTATGTTTACAAACTTTTTGTTTATAAACTACACTATGTCTGATCGATCATACTTTAATCAAGAGTGTATGACCGGTCATACTTAGTGTAACTTGTAAACAAATCATTCTCTCTCTCTCTCTATATAGAGTATATATACTTTTTGGTCCTCAGCAAATTTAACGATGCCCGCTTTAGTCCATAGCAAATAAAAAGGCCCATCGTGGTCCCAAAGAAATTCAAAATGGATCCATTTTAGTCATTTTAAGGACTAATATGAGTCTTTTTTAAATTTGTGAGGGACCACGATTTCAACTAAATGGGTCTATTTTGAATTTCTTAGGGACCACGATGGGCCATTTTATTTGCTAGGGACTAGAACGAGTATCGTGAAATTTGCTGAGGACCAAAAAGGGTATTTACTCATATATATATATATATATATATATATATATATATATATATATATATATATATATATATATATATGAATGAATGAAAAGTATTGAACATCAGTGAGAGTAAATCTTATTATACTTATATTATATAAATAGCTTTTACGGATGCATGCTGAATTTTATCAAGTCAACCATTAAATTGATAGTTCTCATTAAGTGAATTAAGTTTACAAAATTGTGTACACTATCAAGAATTTGTTGATATTTCATTGCACAAATATATTTTAACGCATCATATAATTTTTAAAATATTAGCAGATGTCATTTATAAAATTACATACTTCTAAATGTCTAATTTATATAAAATTTGGTGTATATGATCATCAAGATAATATCTCATTATTCAACGGTTAGATTGGTTAAATTCATATTATACAAAAGTTATAAATGATGTCAGCATCCAAGAATTACTCATAGTAAGATTGTATATACGAGTGTTAAATTCTCTGTTGTTTTAGTCAACATAATTGTGATTCATTGGAACGGAAAATCCAAGTTTGTATCCGAAACTCTTTGTCCAGAGAATTTTGATATCAATATTCATTTTGATTTCATTTACAAATACTTGTTCTATCAGCATCTTTCATTGAAGAAGTATGCTTTAAGAATTTGAAATAATCAAATAATTGAAGTATACACAAAATGAATCTGTGTTGCCATAGGTTTCTTTTTGGAGGTTGAGTCTTAAAACATATTCCGCAGAAAAGTCCTTAAAAACCATACTGTCATCTTGTGAATGCATGTCTTCCTTTCAATCTGCCAAGGACTTTTTCAAGGTAACCTTCTAGAAGGTAGCTGCTATTTTCTGAAAGCAGCGTCAACCTTAGGAGTTCTTCTTCACCTTAGAAGTGAATGAGAATGCTTGAGTAGTTGTTGAAGAGGAGGTGGTTTCCCTTGTGCTTTACACAACAACCCCTTTACTTTTTCAGTCACCTGTGTTTAAAGGAGTTCCATTATTATTGTTAGCGCTGATCTATATATACCATATAACACGAAAATGTTGATTAATATAAGTGCAGCTGTTGTAGCTACAGCAAGCAAGGATCCACGTCCGGATCCTAGGATACGGCAACGGATCCTGAGTTTTTTTTTTTTTTTTTTTTAAAAAAAAAGCCATGGGACTCACTTTTCTGTGTCAGCTGTAGATAACACTATCTACGGCTCCTGCAGAAATGTTAAGCCCTTAATATAATTATACTTGAAAAAAAAAAATATTATGCCCAATAAATAAAAACCTTTTCCAAACTTCCCCTAGCACAGGGGACTGTCCTCTGATATGCTAATGAAGTTGGAGGAGATTTTCTGCTACTCTCTTCTTTGCAGGGTGATTTCCCATTAGTTCTGCTTCGCGTCATGATCACTCTGGAAGAGCCATACCATTTGCTATGCAATGTGTTTGGTAGACTAGATTCCTAACATTAACCACAAGCCATAACAAACGTGTGAGAATTATGCTGCTGGAATCTTTGTTTTCAAAGGTAAATAATTAAGCAAGCAAATTTGAATATTGAGATTGATTAATTGCACATACCAGAAACAACACCGTTGCACAATTCTTAAGGACCTCCAAGTTCATACGAACATCATCTAGGCTCCTGTTAATTTCAAAACATTCATAAATCCATATCATTCAATTTTTACAAAATCTATTATTATAAAGTACTCAAAAGTACCTTATTATTATAAGTACTAGAGTTAGAAATGTGCAACGAACCTGTGCTTTTGTTGTCCCATGCCAAAATAAGAAGCCAAAGTTGCCATCTGCCCATTAAGAACTTCAAATTGTGAGGATTTTGTTGTGTGAGGAATTAATCACTTCTTGCTAGTTCTTATTATACGTACCTTCATATTACCAGCTCTTCTTCCAAACTTTTCAGTTAGGACCCCCAAAGAATCAATGATTCCAACTGGCACAGGTGCTGGCCTATTAATATCTTCAAAGGCCTCTTTGATACGAACACAATCAAATCTCTGAATGTTATGACCTGCCCAAACTCTTCCATTCAAGATATTGAATATCCTGTCTGCAACATCCTCAAAAGATGGTGCATTTTCTACAGCTCCACGAGTTATGCCATCGCATCTGCTAGACTTCACTGAGACTACAGATAAGTCTTTGGGTCTTATCAGAGTGGTATAGCTCTCAATCTCGCTGAGTTTGTGGGCGCTTACTACAATTGCACCAAACTCCAAGACCCAGAACCGTTGTCCACCCTTTTTGGGGACTGTGGTTTCCAAATCAAAGAAAACAATCTCGGGTGCATGCTCATTGCATGAATAAGAGACCTCCATCGTAAGGTTTTTTTCTTCCTTTCTCCAACTTGGTTTCATCTATTTACTATATATAGATGAGGTTTAGCTAGGTACATGTAGTAATAATCCTTTGGAACAGAAGAGTACATGTAGAAGAAACCCAATAATTTTATGTTAAGGTTGATTGTCTTTTAGTTCAAGTCACTATTCAAGGCTTTGAATGAAGGGGAAGGGGCTCCTTAGATTCTTCTTGAGGATGTTAAGCTTACGGCTAGATGATGGGAATATTTTAACATGGAGAATTAAGATTACCCTTCCTTCTTTCCTTCCAAAAGCCCTCTTCTTTTTCCCAATTGTGTTGCATTGCCTCTCAAACAGGAAACTTCCAATGAAACCTTAACCCTTACCTATTGGAAAACTAGCTGTTGCTGGACATGCCAAGAAGTCTCCTATATGAGAATTGATTCTATGCCAAAATAAGCATATGATATGCCACATCTTCTATCAATTAATTTACTATTCCATGCCTATGTCCCCAACGGATTAATTAACGTTCGTTTTTCCAAATATATTATAATTTGGGCTTGTGCTTGCAAGCCTAACTAGTCCCGCTCGATTTCCACAAAGCAAAAAATCTTACGGCTCATAAGTTATGGGCCCTACCAAACACGAATTAGGCTTTTTTTCCGACAACCATTCATGGGCTTCATAGCAGCAAACGCTAATAACTGATTTCAACAACCCTAGTCAAATCCTTAGCTTTTGCTTACGAGACTTGATTTCATTATTCTACTGTTGCTTTGGAAATATCGGAGGTCAGTTTAATTTCCCATAGAACAGCCGCACCTAGGGGTGTAAATGGGCCAGGCTGGCCCGGCCCGGCCTACATTGAGCCCAGCCCAGGCCCAGCCTTTCAGAAAAGTAGAGTAGGCTTAGGCTTATAAAATAGCTTTTTTAATAAATAGGCCATAGGCCAATTTTGTCAAGCCCGGCCTACAGCCTTGTAGGCTGGCCTATTTAATTTATTAAAATAAAATAATAAAATAATATTTATTTTATGTGGCAAAGACACAAAGTGCCAAATAGCAATATCTCTTACTTTTTGTGCTATTTTATTTTATGAAAGGAAAACTTGTCTAATGTCTCCAAATTTTACATGTTGTTGCAACTTAATACCATGGAACAATGGGTACCTTGCTGGATTATGATGTTACTGATGAAGATCTTTCAATAATACTCTTCTTTCCCTTGTCTTGATGGTGGTTTAAAGATTTTTAGATGAATGACATTCTCTTGTAGACTTTATTTCAGCATCTAGTAATTGTATTTTTCTTATTTTTCCCATTTCTTTGACTCTATTCCTCTATGATATACATTCTAGAGCTGAGGTATTATGTTGACTCTTTCTTGTTTGTCATTTTTTTCATATGAGAAGTACTAGTGCATGCATGAATGGAACTTTCTTTGCTCTATACAATTATTTTTTTTGCTTAGTATATATAGTGGGAGGCCTACAAGGCCTGTAGGCCATGTCAGGCTTTCTTATTTTTGAAAATGGGCCGGGCTTGGCCTACAAATAAAGCCTTTAATAGGCCAGTAGGCCAGATAGGCTAAATTTTTTTTGACGTAGGCTTGGGCCAGGATGGCCAAAGCCCAGCCCAGCCCATTTACACCCCCAGCCGCACCCCTTTTCGCATTCCCTTACTCCCCTTACCAAAATAATATATATGACATAAGATCTTTCGTCAAATTTAAAGTTTGACACTTCATCTGAGAGTCATTAGATCAAAAAAATCAATAGTATCAATTTTCAAAAATTTGACACTGGTATCAAAAATTCCTATCTCAATATATATATATATATATATTCTCTACATGCTATGCCATTAATCACTATTAGAGCCATGGCTTTTCTTTTTTCTTTTTTCTCACTCTAAATAAATATTTGGATGTGAGCCTTACAAAAAAAAAATTCGAAATAATATTTTATTTAAATTAACATTTCTAGCATCTAAAATAATTTGGGCCAATTTTGTTAATCATTGATATTACAGTTGTATCACTTTATTTTCAGAATAAACAGACTACACATTGTTGCCAACTCTAGAATAAAATACACCCATTACAACAAAGCATGGAGATCAAACAAGTGCAGCAGAGCTTAGAGGGGTAAGTGCTTTCTTAATTCTCTCAACAGCTGCCTGTAGGGTAGTAAGGGATGCTGCATAAGAAATGCGGATGCAAGAATCATCTCCAAATGCACTCCCTGGCACCATGGCTACCTGTAAGCCAAAACGGAAAAACACAATGTCATGACTCGCAAGACATTATAAGTTCAACAAGTTGGACAACTGTTGTCATATTTCAAGAAAGAGAAAATCCTTTTTGCTAATAACAATTCTTCTTTAGTTCTTTCTCCATTATTTTTAAGGGAATACGGTGAAAAGAAAGACAATTTGAAAATTTCCTACTCATAAAATATTACTAAAATTTGAAAGCCATTAAATGAGTACATACCTGGCCCTTATCCAGCAGATATCGACACAGAGACTCAGAATCCTCAATTTTACCAAATCCTTCAGCTTCTCTTCCATAATAGGAGCTGAAATCAAGGAATAGATAAAATGCTCCCTGCAAGTGAAAAAGTATATACTAATTAAGTATAAAAGCAGACCCGAATAGGAAGAGACAAAACAAAACAAAATAATTGAGTTTGCACCTGGGGTTCCGATATTTTAATACCACCCATTTCGCTAAAACTTTTAATCAAGAAATCCCTTCGCTCCCTAAATGCTTTTACCATGGTAGAAACAGCCTCCCCACCAGCATAGCCCATGCCTAATGCAGCAACTGCAGCTTTCTGAGATATACTACTGGCCCCTGAGGTGAACTGAATTCAATAAGATGCATCAGCCAGTATATGCTGCATATAATATTAAATAGCAACAGTAGTCCAACACATTCCAAATGAATGCTACAAATTTCTTATGTTTCCGCTCAAATGCTAAATCTGATTAAAGAATCTGTTAGAAGTCTTGTAGAAAAAGGAAATCAAGACAAGTTGAAATGTGGAATAAAGCTGACAAAAGTGATTAATAAAAAATGTAGCACACCTGACTTTGAATCTTTCCACATGCTGCAGCAAAATGTTTTGGACCAGCAAGATATCCAAGCCGCCAACCAGTCATTGCAAAGGCCTACAGGAAAACAGTTTAAAAGCATCAGAATCCAATTCAGAGGCCTTCCATGTCATGTCATAATTTACAGCCACGCTATGAAATACAGCTTAGGCATTGCGTAGAAAATAAAAACACAGACACCAAAAACATACCAAAAAGAAAAATCACAGTAACAAGTATTTTTGGGAGTTAGCAGATACAACTCTACCAGAAAGAGAACCCGACACACAGACTAACCTTGGAAAATCCATTTACAGTTAGAGTTCTGTCCCACATTCCTGGTAAAGACGCAAAGCTTGTATGAGTTGCTGGTGCATAAATTATGTGTTCATAAATTTCATCAGAGATAACCTGCATAAAACAGCTATTAAGATCTTGAAAAGAACTATCATCTAGGTTGAACACATTGAAACACTAGAAATCTTGTCATGGATGTATGACTGTACCAGAAGCCTCGGGTACTTTGCTACAATCTGGGCTATTTCTTCAAGTAATTTCTTAGGGTAGACGGATCCTGTTGGATTAGATGGTGAACAAAGAATAAGCACTCTTGATCTTTCAGTAATTTTGGACTCAAGGAGTTTGGGATCCAAAAGGAAATTATCAGATATTGATGTTGGAAGAATCACAGGTGTTGCATCAGCCAACCTTGCCATTTCGGGGTAACTAACCCAGAATGGAGCTGGAATAATGACCTGAAATATTCACACCATAAATGAAATCCACCATAGTGAGCAATAGGAGAAATAACATATATATAATAACTTGTCCAAACACAAATCAAACATATTATTGTAAATGGAAATTAGTGCACAGTACGGAGTGGCTTTTTAATTTGCTTGACATTTACCGCAGTAAGCATAATAAGGCTTACTGGACCCAGAATACATGATAAACTGATAATAAAGTGATAAAACACAGAACAAAGGCTTTAGAAAATGAAAGGTCAGTTGCAGAATCTTTTGAACAAACAAAGGCATATATGTCAATAAGTTCAGACAGATTGCAGAATGATAAAACAAGTCTACAAACACACAAGATGCCGTCCAAAGAAGAGCACCGTTGTCACCTGAAATTTCTAATACACCAAAGATTTTCTCCCGCTTTCATAATGGCAAAAGATAAAAGAACATGAATAATTCAAAAAACTTAGTTAGAATTAAATCATCCCCTCATACCTAACCCAAATGACTTTGCAGCATAATATATCTTCTAACGCTTATCCTTAGAGTACGAATTAAACCCCTTTAACATACCTCATCTCCCGGGGAGCAAACTGCAATCACTGCCTGAGTGAGACTCTGCTTGGCTCCATTACTAACCACAATCTGATCAGGAGTATAAGTAATTCCATTCTCCTCTGCAAAACAATTCTGGCATATTGTCAAAATCCCCATTTCGTATAAACAACAAAGCATCCATATGAAGCACAAAACATGATCAAACTAACCCTTTAGCTTATGACAAATTGCTTGGCGTAGTTCTAATGTTCCGGCATTGGGTGTGTACCTCGTGTAACCTTCACGAATTGCATTAATCCCAACCTACCCATACAACTCATGACATGATCAAAAAGAACTAATTTTTTATTTAAAAAAAAAAAAAAAAACTTTTGTATTAATTGAAAATGGGGAATGTAGAAAGAACACATTTTTATACCTCAGCTATGACAGCAGGTGTATCAAAATCAGGTTCTCCAGCTGCCAAGCGAATAACAGGAACACCGGCTTGAACGAGAGCAGTGGCTTGGTCGCTTATGGCCACAGTCTTTGAAGGCTTCAAAGCATTAACACGTGGGCTCAAGGAAATATCAATGTCAATGTCAACGCCCCTTGCATCAAAATCAGTCATTGCCTTCACCACCATTCTATTCTGCTCCACGTGTTTTTCCAGGCCCATCTCCAGTGTTCTACAAATACAAGCAAACCCATCATCAGGAAACGATAAGAAAAAAGATGCAGTGTGTGAAGAAACAAACAAGAAAAGGAACTCACTTGAGGGGAAGATAGGAAAGGTTTGAGGAAAAAGATATGGATCTGAAAACGTGGCGAGAAGACGAATTAACAACGGGACATTGGTCCCTGACAGGGATTCGGCATGCGGTGCCGTTATATAGTGAGTTTGCCATATGGAAACTAGAGAGAGAGAGAGAGAGAGAAGTTGGAATTCTGAAACAGAAAGTGCTTAGCAAACAATGAAGTTTTTTTATTTTGAGAAAGCTAAAAGCAAAAGCACAACAACGCAGTTAGATGGTCGAGGGGGGGGTTTGGTGGAGTTTGGTTGGGTGGGGGAGAGTTGGTGGTGTAGCGTAACTCTCCGTCTTCAAATGCAATTCAACTCTTTCTTTTTCTTTTTTATTCTTTTTTTTTTATTTTTTTATTTTGAGTTAAAGACTAGTTTGTACTTTGTAGATTGCAATGACGATCTTTATAATATTTTTATAATTATTTTGTGCTTATTCACCCTATCGTTGTTACTTCGAGCATATTTTCAATGTAAACAGGTATTTTTTATTTAAAGTAATATTCAAATGACATTAATTAAAAAAGGTGGTAAGATAAAACGATATTACATAAGTTATTTTTATTTTATTTTTTATAACTGATATACCGATTACTTAAAATACAAAAAATACTGATATAATTTTGTTAGGTTTGTAATAGAATAGTAACGTAGAGAAATTTACCAGTTTAATTTGTATAGATATCAGCCTTTCATTAAAAGTATTTATTAAAATTTAATTTTAAATGAATTTCATATCTTACAAAACAATATCAACATTATTTTAAAACAATTAAGTTGATTTTACTTTGTTGAATAAATTTGAAATTTCTTAAAATATAAGAAAATTGGAGTATTAAAGAGAAGGTTAAATTGAAATTTTCATCCCTATAATTTTTGTAATTTTTTTAAACTAAATGCGTACTTATTAAAAGTTTTTGAAATATTTTATATCGCAAATCTTTTGTCAATTTAATCCTTAATGAACATTTTACAAAAAAAAAATTAAATGGGTTAATTTGAATTATTTTATAAGCGACAGAATAATTAAAAAAAATACAAACAAAATATATATAAAAATTATTTACCAAAAAATATATATATACATATAAAATTAAATTAAGAAAGAATGATAATTTTAAGTATTATAATTCTAAATCAACCTTTAAAAAAAAAACAGTACTGCACCCGAAAGATCTGTTAGAAGATTTTTTCCTCGCCAAAAAAGAAGAAGATTGTTTTCATTTCCACACCTTTCTCACCAACCAAAGATTATATTAATTTTACTGTTAAACCTAAAAGTCTTATAATCTTTTATAATTTATTTTTTTAATATTAATTTTGTTAATCTAACGATTATAATTTATTAAAATTTATAATTAATTAATAAATATGACTTAATAAATTATAATCATTAAAATGACAAAAATTAACAATAAAAAAGAAATTATAAAAATAACGCTTCTCTTTATTTTTATTACTCTTGTTACCTGATTAATTAGCATTAGATTAATTTGTTTAACAATTATAGTTAATTTTTTCTTTTTTTTTTAACAGTTGATTTCAAATTAATCTAATGATAACCAATTAGATAATAAGAATAGTAAGATTAAAATTATAGTAAATATAATCAGTCTCACCAAAAATAGTTAAAAATAAATAAATACGTAAATTTAAATCAACACTTTAATTAGAGCATTAACAATTACCAAACCCCATCCCCCTAGCCCCTAGGCAGAAAACAAAGGTATGCAGAAGAGAGGAGCCAACCTGGCGGCGGCCGACGACGACGGAGAGAAGAGCCTCCAAGAGAATAGGAACTAGGCAAAGCAGCGTCGTCGCCGCGATCGATTAATCCGATAAAGCTCCCTAAACAAAAATACGGACTGCGAATGTTACGAGGAAAATTTTAGAAGAGCCAAGCTTTGCAAGATATACTAGATTTTTTGCTAAATTGGAAATGTATTTATTTTTCCTTTTAGTATTTTCTATTATATGTGGCCGCATATTCCATAGAGAAAACGTATATCTCATTTTGGGCCTCATTTAATGGATACATGTAGAATGTAGATTACGAAAGTATGTGTATACAAATGATTTGTTTACATTTTTTTTTATAATCGTGTTCTGATCACAACAACACTAATGACTGATGACCAACGTGAGCTTATTAATATGGGCAAGTGCCCTAACACTAGGTTTCTTGGGCTTCACTCATACACTAAAGCCCAAATGAACTTTAAGTAAAAGAACAAAACCCAAAAATCTTTCACTTGCTTTTGAGTACATACTTAAGGCAAAGCTTAAGACCATGTCACTCACTCATCATCATTAACTAAAATTACCCTGTCCCTTATCTCAAGCTAGCATGGGGATCTTCCATTTATAATTAATCAAGCCTTTTAATAATCAACAGATGATTATCTAATTATGTACTACTCTACTAAAAACTCGAAGTTGAACTCCAAGGTTATTAATAATTATAACATGAATAAGTATCGCCTTTATATAGAATATTGATAATTGTTTTACCAGAAAAATAAATATATATCGATAATTGACTGATGAGCTTTTTGTTACTCAATCAATTATTTATTCTCTTAACTATAATAGTTTCTTTAATGAATTACATGCACTACTAGTGTCTTCAATATCTAAGTATTGAAATATATCAATGGGATATTTCCTACAAATTATATATTGTTTATCTCATAAATATGAATAATCAAATAATTTCATTCCCAATATACCCAGTTATTGATCGTCAATAAATTGAACTTCACCTATTGATAAATCAAAGAATAAAAATTATTTAATTATATATTTATAATAAACTTAGGATTAAGAGCAATAAGATACTTATTGTTAATTGGAGATTTGATACCTTATGACAGAAATACAACCTTAATCAAATCTCTTATTGATCCTTTCAGTGTGAATATTAATTCACACTAGGATTTTACAATATGATCCAGACAAGTCATTTCATAAAATATTACGGCATAAATAAAACGCCCAACTTTATTTAACAGTTGTGAACATGTTTGTTAATTATGAGAACCTATGATCATGTCCTTTATAAACATACCCAAATGATCATATACTTCATAATCGATCCAGACCTCAATGTTTGTAAATCGTGTATACAAAAGTAACGAATAATACTTCATTTGTAAAATTAGAAAATGATTACATTATTATATTATCTTACTTCGAGAGCACAATGAACACAATATCACTCGCCTAATACAAGTATGAGATCCTCTTAAGACCAAAAGAAGTAACATGCCTCTTGAACACAAGTTTAGATAAACTCTTGGTAAAAGGTTATGTAAGGTTCACCTCTAATTCTATCTTGCTTTAGTGTAAACATCACATCTCAAGGTCGATCTTCTTAAATCAATATCCACCTGAAAAGTTGAGTTTGTGTAACTGAGGTTTCCTAGACTCGCATTAGAATATATTAAGATATAATCTCTCACTTTCGGAAGATACTTGAGTACATGCTTAACATCTATCTAGTGTTCCCTTGGAATTGGATTGGTACCATCTCACTACTCACCCTATGTCACAAATGTCTAGTTTGGTGAATAACATGACATATATGAGGCTACCTATTACTAAAACATAAGGTATCTTGCTCATGAATTCTTTTTGCTTAGGGAGTCTTTGGAGATTACATTTTAAAAAGATGACTTCCATGTTTGGGGAATATGATTCCCTGCGTATTGAATTTGACAAGAGTCCTGTCAATATATATATAAGTAGCCTAAGTTAATATCAATAACTTATTAAGATGATAAAGAAGTAAAGAACAATAAACATAATAGTTATTGTGCTAATATTAGCTTACTGTTGCATAATTGTATTACTACTATATAATTGCAACATGTGTTCATGATGCCATAGAAAACTTTTTTTTCATGGCCTGCTGTGACGAGAAGTATCATCAAAATGAATTCATTTGATGTTATTGTTATTAGAAAATAAATTTCTCATTACTCCACTTAACACTTTCCGAGAAAATTTTATTAGTCATTTCTTAAATAGTTACAATAGCTAAATTTATTCTTTTATATATATATATATATATATATATATATATATTTTAAATAAGGATTTAATATTTCTTATATTGTAGGAGATAAAATTATCTCCTACATACACATAAAAAAATATGAGTTCCATGTGAGGTTATGTGAGGAGAATAGAGAAAAAAAATAAAACACGAAACCCACACATTTTTATATATGTGTAAAAAATAATTTTATCTACTATAACGTGAAAAAAATTATACCCTTTAAATAAATGACATGCCGGTATTTGTAATGCCGTATTCTGGACATGTGAAATTGTGAAAATAGTTATAATTAGTTCAATATTATTAAATTGGGTTTTACTTCTCTCATATTGTATGAGAAAAGTTATCTCATGTTGTGAGATAAATTAAGTGGGGTCCACCAATTTAAAAAAAAAAGAAAGAAAAGTGAGGCACGTCTTTTGATGTGAGTGTAAAAATGAGAGAAGAGGCCTGTGTAACATAAGAGTATAATATTCCTATTAAATTATACCAAAGTGTAATTGTTTTAATATAATTACGTAGGATAAAGTCACGTGATTATTCCTAAGCAAATTAAGGGTTTACTCACCTATTTTACACCTATAAATACTTTAAATACAAATTTAGAGAATCTTAATACCAATTGATTATCTCATATAATTAAAATACATTTTCTTTAATAAAGTTACAGAAAAATATTTCTGCAGTTATTGCAGATAATTTATCTGCATTTATTTCCAAAACGACGTCGTTTTAGAATTGAAAGATTAAAAAATTATAATTATAAAGACTATAATAATCCTGAAATAAATTAAAATTACAAAAATATCATGATTTTCGTCCCAAAACGACATCGTATCGGGCTTACTGCAGAATCTGCAGAAAAAGCGAACCCGTAAAGTTGATCACTTTTTGCAAAAAAAGTTAATAAAAGAAAGTGTTCTCTTTTTCTGCAGTTACAAGTTATCTGCAGTAAGTCTAATACGACGTCGTTTTGTGACGAAAATCATGGTATTTTTGTAATTTTAATTTATTTCAGGGTTATAATAGTCTTTATATTTAAATTTTTTAAAATTTCAATATCAAAATGACGTCGTTTTGGAAATAAATGCAGATAATTTATCTGCATTAACTGCAGAAACATTTTTCCCTAAAATAAAATGGCAACAAAGTCCTATAAATCATAATTCACTAATTGTTTATTCTTAAATTCATTTATGGGTATGAGTTAGTTC